AATTTATATATTTGGTACAGGGTCTTGCTATGCAGCTCGGACTTGTAGTGATTCTCCTGTTTCAGCCTCCTCAGCATTGGCACTATAGGCGTGTGGCACCATACCCAGTTTCAGTGGCCAGCTCAAAACAGGGCTGCCAGGATATGAGGTACTGGGAATTGAACCTGGGTCCTTAAGATTACCAGGCTGGGGCTTAAACCACTGAGCTATCTTCCCACCCCATTTAGCCTGTTTCTAAGCTAGAAAAGGAAAATGAAGGATAAATATACATAATTTGTAGCCAAATTGATATACCTTGAGACAATGAGAATAAATGAAATAAATCAGGCACACAAGATTAAATATTACATGGTATCAAATCCAGGTCCTTGCACTTGCCAGGCAGGTGCTTAGACCACTGAGCTATCTCCACAGCCCTGCATGGTTTCTCTTACATGAAAAATCCAAAGTATAATTAAATTAAAGTTAAATAATAATGAAATAAAAGTCAGAAAATAGGAAACGAGGAGATAGATCTATTGCAAATGGGAAGGGGATCAAGAGATGGAAGAAGTGGGGAAGGAGAGGAAGAGAGGGAAAATAAAGGAAGTTAAGTGTTATACTCATGTACAAACTTTTAACATTGAATATAATCATTATGTACTACAAATATACACTAATAAAAATTTAAAACATTTTAAGAAAGGGAAGTGTAAGTACTTGCACTTTAATGTTATTTTAAGAATCAGAAGTCGTTCTATGATAAATGTTAAAAGCTGTAAAGAAGATACAAAAGATACATGATTAATGTGTATTAATGATGACTACAAAAATACAAAGACTACAGTTAGCTACTAGAGAAAGAAAAATTAATAGTCCTTTTTTTAATTTTCAGGGTTAGAATTTATTTATTTACTTTGTAGTTCTGGGTATTGAAACCAGCATATAACAGAAAGCATTCTACTACTTAGCTATACCTCCTCTCACCAAGTAGTATCCTTAAAACTTAGAATTTTAATTACAGTATTTGTGAAAATGGTGCTAACACTGCTTGGCTTTATACCATTTTCCCATCCAGAAATATAAACAAATATTTAATTACTAAATTAATGGGAAATATACTTATAGACCAAAGGAAAATATTCCTTAAATAATTATCTGCAAGTACAGAGAATTTTAGTAAAATAATGAACTGCTGGGGCTGGAGAGAAGGCTCAGTGGAATAAGCACTTCCTTGGCAAGTGCAAGGGTCTGAGTTCAATTCCCGGTCCCACCAAAAAAAAAAAAAAAAAATGGGGAAAGATTCTTCGGCTTACTTTCCCCATAATGCCAGGAAATCAGGAGATGTAATGTTTGACTTTTGGAAAAAAAAAAAAAAAAAAATGAACTGCTATACTTAACAGGTATATGGACAACAAAAAGGAGAGACAAATTAAGAAATTTTTTGTATGTGTGTGATGTGAATATATTTTTTTAATTTTTATTTTTTAAAGAGTACAAAATAGCATTAAAACAAAAACTAAAAATGATAAAGAATTTCACTAAACAAAATAATATGAATTTCACAGTATTTGCTGTCTTGCATAGTGTTGTCTTCAAATTAACTGTTCAGCAGGAGATAGCGCAGTAGTCTAAGCACCTGCTTGGTAAGCACAAGGATCCCGGTTCAATCCCTGACACTGCATGCCATGCCAGCTGGCCACCGAAACTGGGCGTGGTGGTGCACACCTATAATTCCAGTGCTGGGGAAGCTGAGAAATGAGGATCATTATGAGTCTGAGCTGTGAAGCAAGACCCTGTACCAAACAAACCAACAAACAAAACATCAAATTAGTTGTTTACATTACCAGATATATACATGCAAAATTGGAAGAAATAGAAATATATAAGAAATTAAGAAAAAGTACAAACAATTGAAAAAAGAAGACAAAACAGTAACTATTATCTGCTCCTTTCCATAGACCAGCAGAAATCTACAGTACAGTTGTCCAAACCATCCTGCTTACATACATAGATGTATCTCTTTCTCCCATCCCTCTCCTGTCTTCCTCAACCCAGTAATTCCTTTCTTTTGAACAGGCTCATTCCCTTTTCCCAGTATCTATTGTGCCCTGCAGATTTTATTTTTCTCTTTCAGGTTCTCACACTAAGGAGACAATTTGATGTTTGTACATGAGGGTCTGATTTATTTCACTTAAAAGTATGGTCTCTAGTTGTATCCATTTACCAACAAAAGCCTCAAATTTATCCTTTTTTATTTATTTATTTATTTTTATTTTTTTGGCAGAATCGGGGATTGAACTCAGGCCCTTGCACTTGCCAGGGAAGCACTTATTCCACTGAGCCATCTCCCCGGCCCCAAAAAGAGTATTTATTTATTTATTTATTTTTATTTTTTATCCTTTTTTAATAGATGAATAATACTCCATTGTGTAAAAACACCACATTTTTTTTTTAATTCATTCTTCAGTTGAAGAAACTTTCAAGTGATGTTCCCTATCTCTCTCTTCTTGGCAGTATTAGCAGGTAAATCCAGAAAAGATGAGTTACATCCCCAGATCTTTTAGTTTTGAGACAACATCTGCTAATTGTCCCACACTGCCCTTGAATTTGAAATTCTCCTACCTCAGCATCCCACGTTGTTGGGATTTAGGTGTGCATTACAACACACAGCAAAACAATAGCCTTTATTGCCATAAAGCACAACTTAACAACTCTTAAAGGTCTCTTTAATCATTACTGCACTGTGAAAAATTTCAATTAGAGGGCTGGAGTGATAGCTCCGGGGACTAAGTGCCTGCTTAGGCAAGTGCTGGGACTGGGACTTGATCCCTGGCATCCCATGCCAGCCCCGCTCCTGGGCACTCTGAGCCAGCCACCGAGTCCAGGCATGGTGGCACATACCTCTAATTCCAGTGCTGCAGAGGCTGAAAACAGAAGGATCACTACAAGTATGAGCTGCACAGTGAAACCCTGTACAAAATACATTAAAAAAATAAAAAATAAAAAAATAATCAATTAGTCCCCAAGCCCTGGGTGGAAAATCTGTGATATCAATGAGAATGCCTGAGGTGTAATAAAGAAGTGGGGTTATAACCATTTACTTACTAGAAAAAAAATAACAGAGTGATTCTAACATATGAAGAATACCTATTACTTTGTGCTGAATACTATTCTTTGCACAAAATGCTCATTACATCGGGGCCTACTATCAGGTAAGATTCTTACTGTAGTCATGTTAGTAGAACTGTAGTTATCATGGGAAAATAGCAATAGCACTGATTGTAGGGTATGTTGTACTGCAGTAAAATCTGCTGGATAGCAGATACTAGCAGAGACTGAGAAAAATAAATAAAAATAACTTTTCTGTGGATCATGAATGAAATTAAAATCTCCTTTGAAATTTAAATTTTAAAGGGCTGGCAAGATAGCTTAGTGGACAAAAGGGCCTGCTTAAGCAGAGCGCAGCAGCCCAGTTCGATCCTCAGCTTGCTGTGCCAGTGCTGGCCCTGCCCCTGGGGTATGCTGAGAGGGTGAATGAGGCTGGGCATGGTGGCGTGCCCCTGTAATCCTAGCATTTGGGAAGGTGAAAACAGGAGAATCACTAAGACTCTGATCTACATAGTGAGACCCTATTGACCTTGTATAAATAAATAAATAAATAAATAAATAAATAAATAAATAAATTTAAACCAGGTATGGTAGAGCAAACACTATAATCCCAGTATTGAAGAGGCTGAAGCAGAAGGACTGTGGTGAGTCTGAGGCCAACCTGTGTGACACAGTAAGATGTAAAACTGGAATGTAAAAATACATACACAAACACAAAAAACACAGGGATGAGGAATAAATGACTTAACAATGGGGAAAGGTTAATAAATATACATATATACATATATTATATGTTAATGTATTTAGGTAGTATGGGGTCTATAGGGTCTTACTACACAGATCTGACTCGTAGTGATCCTCCTCTGTTTTCAGTCCCCCAAGTGCTGGGATTATAGGCACATGCCACTACCAGATCAAATCCTGGTCCCTGCGTCTGCTGAATCAGGCACTTTAATCCACTGAGTTATCTGGCCAGCCAGTAACAATAATAACGTCATTTATTTCATACTTTATAAGTAAAACACATGTGTAGTCATTACAAATGGTCAAAAGGAAACACCCTTTTTTTATACAAAGAAAACTTAAATACATGTTTTGTTTAAAGAAATGGGAGCAAGATCACAAAGGTCATATAAAGGTGTTTTTTTTTTTGTTTTTTTTTTGCTCCAAATGCCTTCAGGGCATGCTTGCCTGGTTGGAATGTTGTGGGGATCTAACTACAGCAACCTGAGGCTGACAACTTTGTGGAAGCAGCTGCTTAAAGGACTGAGCTAAGGCCAGGCCCCCAAAAAGGCAGGATTTTTTTTTTTTTTGGCTCTGAATGCCCTCAGGGCATGTTTGGCTGGCTTTAGTTTCAAACCACAGCAACCTGAGCCTGACAGCTTTGTTGAAGCAGCCACTTAAAGAACTGAGCTAAGGGGCAGGACCCCCGAGCTAAGGGGCAGGCCCCCTACAAAGGTCATATAAATTCACTTTTTTCTCAAGGGAACTAGACAATATTACCTAATTTTAAAAATGCACAAAGCAGGTCTTTTTAGAGCTAATGCCCAAATTATAGAATTGAAGCCAAGTGAGGCAGTACATGCCTGTAATCTCACTGCGGAGACTGAGGCACAATGATCGCCATGAGTTCAAGACCAGCCTGAATTACACAGCAAGATCCTATCTCTAAAAACCACCACGGGGATGGGGATTTAGCTCAGTGGTAGAATGCTTGCCTAGCAAGTGTAGAAGCCCTGCGTTCAGTCCTCAGCACCAAGAAACAAAGAATTCAAAAGAAAACAAAAAACACATAAGTGAATGAGTAGATACGAGGAGCTAACTGGTAAATAATTTAAAGAAAGTAAATAGAAGTTAAACCTTACCCTTAGAGCTGACCTTTTCTCTGTTTGATTTGTTTTGTGGAAGTTTTTCAGCATTCAGGGCCTGAAATTTGTTCCTTGACCATTGTGTGAGGTGGTCAAGCATGGAGAACACAGTCTGTGTACTCAGTTGGGACAGATCAGATGCACTGTCTTGCGTACTTAAGTTACGCTGGTCGTCATGCTCTAGGACTGCCATAATTTCTGCATAAACCTAAGAGAACTCAGTAGTGGTTAATAATATGTCAATATAATATCTTTTATTATAACTGACATATAAGATTAACCATTAGGCAATAACTTTCAAAAGAAATATTAGTAATCATCTTTCTTATAATCAAACCAAACAGATAATAAAATTTAGCATGACTAACAACAATACAAACATAAAGATTAAAGTTTTCTAGATTATTCACTGAATGACAAACTATTTGTCACCTAATAATAAAAATAAGCTCAGAATATTTCATTCTGTCTGTACAAGTTATTTTCAGAATAATAATAAGGTTAAATGTAGGATTAAGTGTGCACTTGTGTTAAGTGTAGAAAGAAGGAATACAAGAAAATATACTGTATTGCAGTAGGGTACATGCAGATAATGATAATGCACTGCGTTATGGTTTGTGTCTAGATGTCCCTCCAGAGCCTCATGCAGTCATAGGGGTGGGCTTCTAGAGTTTGTGATTACTTCATAGTCCATTGCTGAGATTAAGGGTGTTATTCCTACACCCAGCCTAGGGGCAAATAGCCTATATACAAGGGATCTAAAAAGGCCTCTGTGTATGTATGTGTATGTGCGTGCATGTGTGTGTGTGTGTGTGTGTCTGTCTGTCTGTCTGTCTGTCTCCTTACTTTTACTGTCTTCTGCCTGCCAAGGAGCTCTCTGTGAAGGTATCCTGCCTTAGAGATAGCGGATTATGGACTGAAAGCTCTATAAACTAAGCTAAATAAACATTTCCTCCTTTATCTTTGAGTGTTGGATATTTTGTCCCAGCAATGAGAAAACAAAAAAGTTTACAAGAAAGTATGTCTACAGCTGGAGAGATAGCTTAGTGGAATAAGCGCTTCCCTGGCAAGCGCAAGGGCCTGAGTTCAATCCCCAGTTCCGCCAAAAAAAAAAAAAAAAAGAAAAAAAGAAAGTATGTCTAATGTTTCTACCATAAAGAAGTTAAATATAAAGGCTGGGGGCCGGGGAGATAGCTCAGTGGAATATGCGCTTCCCTGGCAAGCTCAAGGACCTGAGTTCAATCCCCCGTTCTGCAAAAAAAATTAAAATTAAATAAATAAATAAATATTAGTGCTGGGAGATAGCTCAGTGGAATAAGTGTTCACCTGGCAAGCACAAGGTCCAAAGATCAATCCCTGGTACCACAAAAAAAAAAAAAAAAAAAAAAGTTAAATGTTTAAGGATATAATTAAGTTTACCTTATTTGAATAGTATACAATGTACAGATGTATCAAACATCACTTATTATCCTATACATATCTACAATATAAATTGATCAGTTAAGAATTATAATCAAATATAGGAAAATTGCAAACTGGGTAAGAAAAGCCATCATGTAAGATTTAAAATTCAAAATCTATAAAAAAAGTTGGCATTGACAATGAAAATTTCTGTATGGCAAAATACATGAAGATTAAAAAGAAAATTGCTGAGAAATACTTCAAAATATGAATGGTAACAAATTGATATGCATAATATACACAGAACATCTACCAATTAATTAAAAGGACACATAAAAATACCACATAATCACTGGCAACAGTTAAATAAATTATGGTCACTACATGTAAGTTGGATGATTACATTACACAGTAATTTAAAGAAGTGTTTCTATGTTGCCTACTAATTAAAAAACAAGGAATGGGGTGCGTATCCCTATAGCTTCAGGTTCTTGAGAGGCTGAGGTTAAGAGGACTGCAAGTTCAAGGCCTCAGCAATTTAAGAGAGAATCTGTCTCAAAATTAAAAATAGAGCTGGAGATGTAGCTTATGGCTAGAGCACCACTGGGTTCAATCTGGGGAGAAGTGAGTTATGGAACAATACCTATATGAAATGTCATTAAAACATAAAGCAAAAACAACCGCATTTTTTAAAAAGTGGAAATAGGATTCACAACAATAATCAAAGGATATAAAAGTAACTGCATTTTTTTTTTGTGTGTGTGTGGCCAGCTCAGCCCAAACTGCACTTTTGCCTAAGCAGGTGCTTTAGAACACTGAACTATCTATCTCGCTGGCCCCAGTAACCGCATTTTTTTTTTTTTGGTGGAACCGGGGATTGAACTCAGACCCTTGTGCTTGCCAGGGAAGCACTTATTCCATTGAGCCATCTCCCCGGCCCCAGTAACTGCATTTTTAAAAAGTCCACATACTAGTAACAATGACCTTGAGAATGTAGCCTTGGTAACAAGCCTTGGCTCTATTTGTAAAATTATATGTATAATTTGTACTTTTACTCTAACACATTATTTATGTTATTAATATTATTGCTTTTTAGGAAAAAAAAGGGTAGGACTAGGGTATGGCTCAGTAGTAGACCACTTGGCTGTCCTGTACAAAGCTCTGAGTTTGATTCCCAGCATCCAAAAACTCAACAACAAATAAAAATAAAAAAGAACAGTGTTGCTGGGCATGGTGGCGCACACCTGTAATCCTATCACTTGGGACGCTGAGGCAGAAGGATCATTGTGAGTCTGAGACCAGCCTGGGCTACAAAGTGAGCTCAAGACCAGCCTAAATGCATAGTGAGATCTTGTCTCAAAAAGGAAATAAATAAACAAAATAGTAAAATAATTTCCTTTCCCTACCTTAACTTTATGGACAGTAGCACTCTTCCTCAGGATAAACCACTACTGGTACCTTCTTAGGCATTCTTTCTTAAAAAATTTTATTTATTTATTTATTTATTTACTTACTTACTTACTTATTTATTTTGTGTGTGTGTGGCCAGCTCAGCCCACCAGGGGGCGGGGCTGGCTGGCATGTGGTGCTGGGGGACTGAACCGCAGTCCCTGTGCTTTGCTTGGCTTAGCTTGTTCTAAGTAGGTGCTTTAGACCACTGAGCCATCTCACCAGCCCCTTCTTAGACATTCTTTCAACATGTTCTATATATATTTGGCATACGTAACATATACATTCTATCTAATTTTATACATTAAGCATTGCATATTTCTTTGATCAATGAAAGTTTAAAAATAATTTTTACTTGCTTTATTTTTTGTGGTACCAAGGATTCAATTCAGGAACTTGCACACTTGCCAGGCAGGCACTTATTCTACTGAACTATCTCCCCGACCAAAAATGATTTTTAAACATAGATCTACATGTTCCCAAACCAAATAAAACAGTATCTCTCACCTCTTTCTGATCTTCTTGATTACAACCCAACAAGACATACACTAGAATATGTGGAAGAAGATAGATGGTCACCTTGAAATCATGCTTCATCATTATGCTACAGCAGGTGAAGATTTTATTGGCAAGATCATGCCTAACCTGGAAACCCAAATGGTTTAGGGAGAATAAGTATATTTTATTCTACTGATTAAATGTCGAAACATAACACATGAGTTAATTCACTAAGAGTGAGTATTCTCTATGGAGAGAGGCATATATAACAAGGAAGATTTCACTTCATCCCGTCTGCTCATGCCAAATGTCCCCATTAGGGGTGAACTACTGAAACCTTTACAGGCAACAGTTTCTTGAGCTGCCAAGTGCCACAGAATACATTGTCTTATCCACTTACAGCTCTATCTCAAAATGTTTTATTACAGGAAACCTTTCCTAATTATATTTGACTTAGCTAACGCTGAATTTACTGTGTTAATTCCCTAAGTGAAAAATTCAAAAATTATGCTGTAGAACAGCACATTAAATATGCGATTTCACATTGTAAGCAATGAACAATGATGAAAAATTAAAGGAAAAAGATAATAAATAGGATATTAAGTTACTTGCATAAAAGTATTTCAGTACATGCTGTACACCCTAAATATAATTTTTGTCAATTTAAAAATTAAATTACTGTGGTTAAAGTCAGATTTTATTAGTATTACCTAACCTTCAATTCACCAACTAATGATTTTTTTTAATTTTAAGGATTTTTCATTCAAATATAATATTTTCACTTAAAACAAAAAATAAAAATATCCCAGAGCTAGAAGTATTTAATTTAATAGTATATATTTCATATGTATTTTAGTATACTCATAAAAAGAAAAATATCTTGAAATTGTCACTTATAAATTACTGTAATTTTTAAAACATCGACAGAAATAAATTTAAAAAATAAAAAATAGACAGAAATTGAACTTAAAGCAAAAACTGTGAATTTTAATTATGCCTGAAATATTTTTTTTCATAATTTTATTGATAAACAGCAATGAGACAGTTTCAAATCAAATCGGTAGGACAGTTTCAATAACTAACACACTGCATATATTCTTCTTA